GAGCCGAAGCTCGTCATCGGGATATTTTGCCGCCCGGGGGCCCGAGGTCTTTCGCGGTAAGAGCTGCCTCTAAATGGATGCATGTAAACGAAACGTCTCAGATAACAGAAGAGCGTCATTTTTGCTCATTTTTCCCCAGCATCTTAAAGGTGTCACTCGGTCTCTTTTCTTGCTCATTTCCTATGCATCATTCTTAGATTATTACAATGTCCGCCAGTCCATCAGTCAATGCAATACAGTATTGTCACATATCTTAGCCTATTTGATTTGATTCTACATATGTAAGTATATGTTGCATCTTGATTTGAAAAAATGAATTAAGACACATACAGAAGTTTATGACCTATCATTATTTTTTTCAAACTGAGAATTTATACCCCACTTTCAGCTTGCACTATTTCTTTTTTTTTAGTTTTCTCTCTCTCTCTCTCTCTCTCTCTCTGTCATCTGACATCTAATTTGGAGCACATGCATGCACCTGCATTAGATGATAAATGCAATCCTCTAAAAAATAACCACCATTCTCCTTCCATAACCATTTCCGTTCTACCTTCAATGGGAGGGGGGTATTATCTTCCTTTAGGCTTTTGTCTGCCATACATGGTCATTAGGATAATTTTCCTCTTTATTTGCTGCCTATTGTAGCCTTTGATGTATAACTATTTCTTTAACCTTGAGTTTATGATGCATTGTCACTATTTGACCAACAAGCAAAACAAAACTAAACAAAAATCACCAACTCTTTAGATTTGCTGACAACTTATAAATATTCAAATTACCAACATATAATATTGAAAATGGGTAGATGTACACCTCCTGGCACAATGCCCTGCTTGTGACGACAAATATAGAGTACAATCTTGACCTCAGTTCCATTGCTGATGTTTAACATAGGAAGCAAATCTCCTTTGGATTAGGCCTCAACAAAAAACAAATCTCTTCTTTAAATTTCTTTCACATAATCAACATGTTCTCACTCAGTACGCACTAACAGAGTGCATTGATGTCATGGCCTTTTGATTTCTAAATATTGTTCAAGTCAGCTATAAACTTGGCATAATTCTTTATTGAAGGATTTATGATATTTTCTGATTCTGATATTAATCACTTTGTCCTTCTATAAGAATACTAATCAGATTTTATTTGCAATATAACATTTGGTTCTTATGTCTACAGGACATATTTTATGACCATAGGTCAAATTCCGACAGGGTTTTATTAGTTGATTCATAGTTACATTCATATTCAGCAGGTGTGTTTGTAATGTGTCTAGTCATGAAGTATTATTAATAGCTCAGTTATGGTATTTAAGTTTCCTGGAATAATAGTAAATGATTTATTTATATTTCTGATTCAGTCTCTAATCAATATATACTAATACAGTCATCAATCATTGTAAATGAAGTTGTTTATTTGATGGTATAGTCTTATTGTTTTGAAAGGAAGAACAGCAAACCAAAGCAAAGAATAATTAGGTTAATACCAGAAAATTATATTGACCCGCATTCCAGTGTTGTTACATATCAGAGTGAATCATATGTTAATATCTTGTTATTCCGTATGATTAAGATAAGCCATGTGCAAAACACTTTTATGACTAATCCTTGTGGTTCGTGGAATAGGTGTTTGTATGGCGCTTGGACACAATGCAAATATGGATTGTGTACTTGGATGAATACCACCTAGGCTAGTAAAAAATGGTGTGTGTTTTATCAATAGTTGTTTGTGCAGGGTTTTTTTTTTCTGTGGTTTTCTCTGTTGGGAGTGCTTTCTCTCCTTCTTTCTCTCTCTCCTTCTCTCTCTCTCTCTCTCTCTCTCTCTCTCTCTCTCTCACGGCACCCAGTTCGTACTTTTCTTCCTGTTTATAAATACCATAACAGTCCATTTTGTTTTGTATAGTGGATAGGCCAATGTATGATTGCCCAATCACTATTTTATATCTATATTTCCTAGCTATCTATCTATTTCTCCATCTTTCTTTCTCTGTCTCTCTCTCTCACTGGCTCTCTGTCTCTCTCTCTGTCTCTCTTTCTTATATGAATAAGCATGGAAAATGTTCGCAAAGGGCTGAATCAAAAGCTGAACTTTTCCCTTCTTTCTTGGGGGGGGGGGGGGGGTTATAATATCAGTCCTAAAAGAATAGTCGGAATAGTTGACGTTTTCAAACCTTGTTTGTGTTTTTCTTCCGTCAAAGATCATCCTCCTTCAATTTCATCCCATATGCCAATTGAAAAGTATAAGAATGGACTGCTTTGAAATCTAGTATTTCAAAATACACATCTGTGAACTGGCTGTGTTTGTTTACCATTAGGCCACTCCCCCTACCTGTCAATCATCTGTCAAAAATATGAAAGTGATATCAAGAGGAAGAATTTTGCTGGAAGTCAAATTATGAACGGTCTCTTTTGTTTAGCCTTCACAAGTTTAAAACAAATCACAGTGAAAATATGAATATTTGTTTGACCAAAATGATGTCTGAGAGAGTGAATTAACAAATGTGTATTGAACTTATTTTTATCTTTGGCCTATATCAGAGACATAATTTGTCCCAGATAGTAACTTTTAATGAGATATTTGTCAGTTAATCACTTTAATTGCCCTTGAGGTAGAGCATTTCTCATTTTGAAAAAGAAAACCAAATAGATAAGTCCAAGGTAAAGGTTAATGCCTGTAATCTGTTCAGCATTAGTACGCTATGCTTAGAATGCTACAGCCCTTGACCATAGACCTACTAAAAAGCCTTGACCAGCATAGCGGTCGATCAGACCTACAGCCTTTTCACACACAGCTAAAATTCTATAAACATGACTAGTATAAACGTGTTTCGAACGTGTTTAAACTAATCACGAGCCTTTCACACACAGAAATTTCGGTGCGATCGTTAATTGTTTCGTGATTAACTACAGCTCGTAAAACGCGCAGTAGTGCCATTGCGCATTGAAGGTCATGTCATGTCAATCAAAGCGCACGCTCCATCCAGTTTAAACACGTTTAAACAAGAATTTCCTTTCACACACAAAATGTCAAGCTCTCTAGATACGAACTTCGTATCTGCAGCCTGCTTTTAGGGGCGTATGGATCGCGACTTCGTATCTATCCCAACATCGTATAAACGATGTTCACACTGGGAAATTTTGTCTATAAACATGTTTAAAATTTTACGATGATTCTAATCATCACTAGATACGATGAATATTAGCTGTGTGTGAAAAGGCTGCTACTCTAAGATACTTTGCTCATTACAACTTGAATCCAAAGCGACACCATGTTGTCGCAAGTCCTCCGCTTTGTGCATGCTCTAGTTCAGACTATTGAATTCCATCCTTCTCATTCCATCTGCGTCAACCCTTATCGAGGGGTCGAGGGAAGATCGGGGGGGGGGGGGGGGGCAGATGGGGGTACTTATCCCCTTAGTCGGTAATGGTGAGAAAAAGTGCCGCTCAATAAAGATCATCAAATAGTACAATAGCTGTCATAAAATAAAAACATTCAAACAATATTAATGCTTTGAATTAAAACTTCATTTGAAGGCTTAACAAGGGTAAGGGTTGGAACACTTACATCCCCCCCCCCTCCTTTTACTCTCCACTGTGATTCCGGGACATTCCTCCCCTCCGAACAAGAACATTGGGTAATAATAGAATACTAGCCATGACAATTCAGTTACATACCCATGTAATTAACAAACAAAGGATTGGGAATATAGGTGACTATTTCATATCAAGACAAATGAAATGAGGACTGTTTACTTATTTACTTCGATTCATGCATGTTTCCATAACCTCTGGCTACTATTTATTTAATTTACTTTGCGTAATGGCATCTCTCTGAAGATGGAATCCTCTTTGCATACTTTAATTGTTGCTATGTCAGACATATATATGGCAAGTCTTTTAGTTGCCAAGAGAAACTTTTGTTTAAATGGTATTTTAAAATCTAGTATACAGGTATATTTGAGTGAGCTCTATGAGGCATTCCACTTACTCTCTACTCTACATTGACAGCAATCGCCCAGCATGCAGAGCCCCTACCTATGTAGAAAGTCAGTGAACTTTCCAAAAAGGTTTTCGTTAACTGCGCGGCTAATTTGATTTGGTTGGCAGTATCGCAGTCCAAGCGCATCGCCTTAATTTGATCAGAAGCTTTGACATGCTTTTAGTAAGGCTCATTTGTTACATGGTGTAGAGACTGATTTCACTCACAGTTCACATTCAGTTTACAAACCGTCTGGTTTGTCTTCCACTTCGAGATATGACTTATTTTTTTCAATCTACCTCTTTAATACCTTTTATGTATTATGACTTCAAGTATATTTGTTTGCCAATTTCTTTGAATTCCAATCGTAGCATTAAATGTGTTGGGGCTATGATCACTTTCTGATGTGAATGGGTACTCCAGGCACCACTCCTCTCTAGAGAATCAGTACCAGATGCTATGCAGACCACCTCTCAACCCCCCCCCCCCCCTCCCTCTCTCTCTCTCTATCTCTCTCTCTCTCTCTCTCTCTCTCTCTCTAGATGGAATCCCAATCCCAAACCTCAAAGATAGTTCCCTTGGTGATGGTAACGTCTAACCCTTGCCAAACATCCCAAAACCTTCCCTTGCATCCCTCAAAGCACCATAAATGCCATGTTGATCAGTCAGGCCCAGTGACTTACATCTTGACATGTATAGAACTGGAATAAACACTGGTCCCTCGATGACTGGAGAGATAAAGAGGAAAGGATGGTCGGGTAAGATGCTGATTTAAATGTGTTGGTGTCACTTGGGTCTGTAACATCTGCCATTGTGTTGACATGGTATGAAGTAGGCCTACTTTCTTCCATGGATTTACCTTAAAGATATATATATATATATATATATATATATATAAAGATCTGACATTTGGGAGACATTCCGGTGTTATTATACCTACTTATAGGAGACACCCAGATTAGGGAGACATTTTCGTGTCTCCTTTACGTTTCAACACCCCATACATGCAGTTTTACAAGAACGGTGTCCAAAATGCTTCATGAATATTCATGTTAACATTGTAGCTCAATGTTCGCACCGTCCATTTGATACAAGGGTACATCAACTTAAAATAGAAACCCTTTCAAATATGGGGGTGTATACTCGGCGTTGATATAACAGTGCATTTGAGAGACACAAAGTTTATGGGATATATCTCGCTTTCTCAATCGTATATGTGTGGGATATTCATTTCTAAGATCAGATGTGATTCTAACAACGTAATAATGTGCATCTTGCTCATTATTTTTTTTAAAGAAAAATATATATCCGTTATGGTGTGAAAAGCACCCTCTTTTTTAAGGTAGTTTATTCCAATGCGATATCGCGATCTTCGCACATGCGCAGTAATATATACATATATTTGCCGATAAAATTGTCTCCCTTGCACCGTAATATATAGCAAAAGGTGTCTCCTAACTACACCGCTACACAGCAGATCAAGATGTTACTAGGCCCTAGGACCTCCACGAATGTAGCCCAGGCGTTGCCGCCCAAGCTTCCCGCGCCGGTACGGTACGGTATGCAGGCTGTAGGAGCATGCAAGTCGGGACGGTTGTCTGAACTTCAGGTAGGCCTATATTATTCTTTTCTGTTAATCATATTCATAGACTAGTCTACTTCTATTACCGTACTACTAGTCCTGCATATATGGGGCTGAGACACTCATGAGAGTGGTAGCCAATTGACTTTAGAGTAGAAAAGTCTAGACTAGATAGTAGATCCACTCCAGCAAAGCATAGATCTTCTAGAGAGTCGACCCTGTGTGTGATTCTCATACTAGATCTAGTACGTCTTGGGCCTTGGCTTGGCAAAAAAAAATTCTCCAATTTAGAGGTCTAACAGTTAGAATCTAGAAGTAGAAGAGTCTAGACTAGAGTCTACTAGTAAAATCTAGATCTAGTAGGGGTCTAGACTCTATATCTAGATCTAGCTGATCTAGACTCTACTATACTAGATTCTAGACCCTACTAGTCTAGATAGATCTATCAAGTATCATCTAGACCTAGGTCTAGATCTAAGTTAGATCTACTACTAGATCTAGGCTAGTAGTAGTACCGCCTAGATCTATCCGGGGCGGGGGTGGGTAGAGTCTACTCAAATTATTTGTTGTTGGGGGTGTGCCGCAGTCAGGGGCGTCGCTAGACCTTTTTCAGTGGGGAGGGGGGGGGGGGGTGTAAGTTAGAGACCACCGATTACCGACAAAACTAGCCACCAATTACCGACAAAATGTAATAATGTCCCTGTGTCTACAAATTTAACCCTATCAATACTAGTATCAACCCGGGGCCGAAGGCTAAATTATTTTTTCTATGAACTAGTCTAGATCTAGTCTATCTAGAATCTAGATCTATAGTAGATCTAGATCTACTTGCGTATGCGCAAATTGTCATTTTCCTTGACATAAATATAAGAATTATTTCGTTAACTTAGTCAGTATCATAGCTAGATCTAGACTATATATTTAAATGCAGGCGCGTAGATCTAGTTTGGATCCTATTTTAGGGGGAGGGGGTAGTGAGAAGCAAATCACTTAAAGAGCGCGCAAAGGGCCCTCCCGCGCGAAGCTTTGACGTTTCATTGAATTATGAGAAAAGCAGACGATTAGTTGTAGTGTTCTCGACTCTTAATCCTTATCTGACTTTATAGATTCCACCCTTCCGCGCGAAGCGCGGAAGCTTTGACGTTTCATTGAATTATTATAGAAAGCAGACGCTTCTGTGTAGTATTCTCGAATCTTAATCCTTAATTGTCTGAAATCGGTTTCCCCCAATCGCGCGAAGCGTGGAAGCTTTGACGTTTTATTAAATTATGAGAGAAAGAAGACGATTCGTTGTACTGCTCTCGACTCTAAACCCTTGTATGAATTCAGTTTCCCCCAATCGCGCGAAGCGCGGAAGCTCTGACGTTTCATTAAATTATGAGAGAAAGCGATTCTTGGTACTGTTCTCGTCTCTTAATCCTTATCTGAATGAAGATTCCACCCTTCCACGCGAAGCGCGGAAAATTTCATGTTTCATTAAATTATTATAGAAAGCAGACGATTCAGTGTAGTATTCTTGACTCTTAATCCTTAATTGTCTGAATTCAGTTCCCCCAATCGCGCGAAACGCGGAAGCTTCTAGACGTTTCATTAAATTTGTAGTATTTATTATTAGACAATGAAGACAATTCGTTGTACCGTTTTCGATTCTTAATCAGCCCTAATTGTCCGCATCCAGATTTCCTCTATCGCGCTTCGCGCGAAAGCTTTGGAGTTTCATTAACATATTAGAGAAAAAGGACGATTCGTTGTACCGTTCTTGACTCCTAATCTTTGTCTGAATTCAGTTTACCCCCTCCCGCGCGGAAGTTTTGACGTTTTATTAAACTATTAGAGATAGAAGACGATTCGTCGTAACGTTCTCGACTCTTAATCCTTGTCTGAATGAAGATTCCACCCTTCCACGCAAAGCGGGGAAAATTTCACGTTTCATTAAATTATTATAGAAAGCAGACGATTCAGTGTAGTATTCTTGACTCTTAATCCTTAATTGTCTGAATTCAGTTTCCCCCAATCGCGCAAAGCGCGGAAGCTTTGACGTTTTATTAAACTATTAGAGATAGAAGACGATTCGTCGTAACGTTCTCGACTCTTAATCCTTGTCTGAATGAAGTTTCCCCCGCCCGCGCGTAGCGCGAAAGCTTTAGCGTTTCATTAACATATTAGAAAAAAAGGACGATTCGTTGTACCGTTCTTGACTCCTAATCCTTGTCTGAATTCAGTTTTTCCCCCGCCCGCGCTTGCGGAAGTTTTGACGTTTTCTTTTGGCGTTTCATCACAATATAGAGAAAGTAGACGATTCGTCGTACCGTTCTCGACTCTTATTCTTATCTAAATAATGTTCCGCGCGAAGCGCGAAAGCTTTGACGTTTCATTAACATTTTAGAGAAAAAGGACGATTCGTTGTACCGTTCTTGACTCTAATCCTTGTTTGAATTTAGTTTACCCGAAACTTTTAAACCTCTGATTTCTTTAGCTGATATTATAGGAAAGTCAAACTTCTAGAAAGTACAAGTATTATAGTTGTAGTCTCTCTCGATGTCGTCACAGTTAGTAGGGGGAAAAAAAATTGTCGGCCAACCGACATTATACATCTCGCCGACTTCAAATTCCTGCATTTATATAGTACCCGAGGATCGAGCAAGAATACCGACACGGCTGACCCGACACAGCAATTTATTTATGCGTGTCTTTCTTGCTCCCTCGACGAGACGACTCCACCCAACAACCCCCCCTCCCCCTCTCTCAGGCTCTTACCTCCCCTTGTTTCCTTTTTCTCTTTTTTTCTTCCTTTTCTCCTTTTCTTTCTTTTCTCTTTTCTTTTCTTTCCTCTCTTCCCTCTTTTTCTTTTTTCTCTTCTCTTTCCTTTCCTCTCCTTTTTTCCTTTTCTTTTCCTTTCTTTCCTTTCTTTTCCTTTTCTTTCTTTCTTTTCTTTCCCTTTCCCTCTCTTTTTCCCCTCCCCCTTTTCTTTGTTTTCCCGACGGCAGCGCAATTTCGCACCCCCCACACCCACACCCCCCCTTTGGCGACGCCCCTGGCCGCAGTCGGCTCAAATTAAGCTAGTAGGGTCTACTCAGCTAGTTTAGTAGAGTCTAGGGCTAATTGGCCCTCCCCTGAGTAAAGGATAGGGCTTAGCCTTGCTATAGCCTAGGGGGCAACAAGTTGAGTGAAAAATAGGGTCTTGAGAACGGGTCATGGCAAGAGTTCCATATGAGTCGTCTAGTAGGCCTACTCCTAGATCTAGTAGCTCTTAGATACTAGAATCTAGTCTACCCGTGAAATCTACTCCCACCCCCCCCCCCCCCCCCCCCCCCCCCCCCCCCCCCCCGCTGAAAAAAATAACGACTGATAGAATCTACTTAGTTAGACTAGACCTATGTCTAGACTATGATAGAATTTTAAATTACTGGAAGTCCACCTGAGTCCGCGTTGCCCTAACCCTAACGCTAGGACAGAAATACTGGACGAAATAGCTTTAACATTAATGGATACAACATTAAATATTACATAACACATTGTGTTATTCTTCAAGTTCAACATCCAAAAAAATCAAATAAATTATTATCAAGTTCTTTTCTCATGTTTTAGTAGGGGGTATAAATATGGAACTCTTGTCTGGGTCAGAATTCGACCATCATGTCATGAATTGACCGCGCTTGTTGCGTGTGTACATGTATGTGTCTATGAGCGCCGCTCAGCGGCTATGTACAGCGCTCATGCATTGGCTGTTCTGGGCAAAAATCCGGCCCGCACTGTTCGGATGCCATATATGTTTGGGAACTGGGAGTTTGCCGCATAGCGGCAAGAGAGAAGGGGGGAAATAATTTTGTAACCCTTGAGAGCGGCAACCGGCCCGGCCTGGCCGAGCGGCCCTCATTAAAAAATTGGCTCTGAAAAAGGGGTCTTTGTAGCGGCATACCCGTGTCACCAATATATGCGAGTACATTGGGATTTATCAATCGAATCATGTATTTTGGAGGTGGAAAACTTTCAATTGACGTCAAAGAATTTGAAATTAGGTATTACATAAAGGTAATAATTGAGTTCAAACCCATATAAAATCATTTGTTCATTTTGGGGGATTTTGTATCATATAGTAATGGGTGACATTCATGGATTTTGAATGCCAATATGCCAGGCGCGGTAAAAAAAAAAATTGTTGCCAATTTGAATGAAATGTAAAAATCCATGTCAAAATTATTAATTGTCACTGTGTGTCAAAATAGAATAGTCAAAGTGGATGATTGATATGATCAGTCTTGCTTCGATATTTAATATAATATCTTGTGCATCTTTCTGGTCTTAGCGGTAATTTTGACATTGGAATCATTGCAAGGTCAAACTTTTTTGTTTTGCATTGTTGTGGGTCAACCTAGATACACGCACCCGCTATTGCTTGCACCTACATGTAAAAAGCATGAAGCTTAATTCCTATTCACTGTCGAAGCCTATGTAACGACCCCGGTCCCGGCTTGTACATTTCGATAGCAACCGCTCAAACAAATGCTTAACGCAGGGCAATCAAGTGCTGTTGGATTATATGCGAATGTGTACTGTGCGCGTGCGTGGCCACGCACTGCGCATTCCAACTTCGACAGCGAATATAGAACCATATGTCAAAAAATGCTGATTACGATTTACCCTAGACCTCTATAACAAAACTTCTCAAAATTTCTGTTTATTTGTGTTGTTGGCATAGGGTTCTGCGTTGAACTGCTCGCGAAACACCCAACGATGAACATGCAGTATCTGCAGAAACTTTGCATGCTTTTGGGTTGTCAAAATAATTTTCCTGATTTTTTCATTGGATTGTAGACCATGCAAGACTGGATCTATGACAATTCCATTGAGAAACAAAAATAAGACAGGGAAATTAAGTTCTAGAGGAAGCTTTGTAGGTGCACCGCTATCGCAAGAGATAGCCGGTGCGTGTATCTACATTGTAGGGTCAAACAGTCTTTTTTAACACAATTTTTCTGACACAATATGAAAAATATGTACATGTTTTTATTTTCCTGCAGCAACTACTTGCCCAAGAAGACGAGCGATGTGAGGAGTCGCGGTTGCAGGGCTAGGGCTTTTTTTTTCAAGCATCAAGATCAAGGAAAGAGTCACTGGTAAGTTTCACTGGGTATTCAAAATTTTGTATCCAAGACCAATTCGAGAGATCGACAAGAGCTGTAAGATATTCTCCGATAGCGGCGCTATATTACTTTGGTTGTGCTGCCTACTTCCAGGACAGGCACGAGTGAATAGCTTTCCTATTGAAATCAGCCAAAATCATGATGCGTCATTATAACGAACGGTTCTAAACGCTATCGAAAAGTGATTTAAACATTGATTTAAATCAGTTTAAATAAGTGTTTTTGTGAGTATGGGGTTCCGTTGCGGATGAAATGATCAAATTAGCCGGCAAAAATTGAATTCTGTAGGATTTCGGCGTAAAAGACCGGAAGTAGGTAGCACAACCTGAAGCTGGACCCGCTGAGCCAACAGCGCACGTCAACCAATCAGAAACAAGCATTTAATTCATTTAATTTAACGCCCTCTAGCGGCCAAATAGTTATTGTCAATCCCCCAATTTCATCATTCCCAATTAGGCCACTTGTGGTGATGGTGACATACACTAAAATAGATAATGGACCCCTTTTTGGAACTTGATACTTCCCTTACTGGAATGTAATCCCTTCTTCCATAGCGGTGTAACCCTACTAAATTTGATGAATACCATCTGTAGTTTTTCCTATTAAATGCTGTTATAATTCTTGGTTTATATAGGCCTTGTCTTCATTTTCTATTTTTCTCTAACCCTTTTAGACATGCTGACCAGAAGAAGACATTGTGGTGTTGGAAAACCCAACCCCCTTGAGGTAGCAGCACAATACACAGAGAAAGAAAAGGACCCTCCTCACTTCATTGTCAAGCTGTTTGAGAACAAAGGTAAGCAACATCATTTTTTAATTCATAATTAAGTTTCATGGGGCTGCTACAAGTTTAGGTCGTATACTGTCCAACAATATTTGATTGATGTCACAGCAGAAACATAACTTAACAACATAATTTGCATATTTTGCACATTCATTTCAACTCAAGTTCTTTTGTTTTATGCCTCCGACATGAAGTGGTGCCGGAGGCATTCTGTTTTTAGGTTATCCGTCTGTCCGTCCATATTTCTTCTTACCACGATAACATAAAGGGATGTACATGTATACCTGGTGTTCTAGAAGGCGCTGTTCGATGGCATGTTGTGCGCCGCCAATTTTATCCCGAAGATTGACCAGGCATATTTACATACATCATTTTTTTACTGTTTGGAACATGGCATTGTGTAAACACCGGTATGATCGAATAACATATATTGGTGTCAATGGCAACTCACACCGTCTGTCCGAGTACACATTGTCAAGATATTCTGACAAAATTAATTGTACTGATCAAATTGGCACTGTGATTTTTGGAAACATATAAATTCCTGCCATTTCCATCTCAACATAAAAGAAATAGAAAAGTGAATCTGGCATAAGAAAATCAGACACACTTTGGATACTTTTTGTAATCCTTACTTCCTCAAACTCTACAATGTACAGAACCTGCAAACCCAACTCTTGGAGGGTGTCCAAAATGAAAACAGTGAGAAACAAAACAAATTGAGTTGAGCTGGACATCCTTATTTACTACATATAGTATATAGGGACAATGTCTAGATGTGCGCCTGAAAGTAAATTGCACGAAATAAATTGCAAATCAATATTTTGTTGAAGATGACTTTCAGCTGTGACGTCAACAATCAACTATCGTTGTTTAGAGGTACCATAATGTTGGTGTAATGATGTCTTACTGTAATTTTTCTTACAGGAAGAGGGATAGTGGCACAAAGAGACATCTCAAAAGGGGAGTTTTTGTTGGAGTACCCAGGCCAACTTATATCTGCCCAAGAAGGCAACCAACGTGAGGAGGAGGAATCATCTGGTTTTCGTGTTTTTTTTAAGCATCAAGGACAAAGCTACTGGTAAGTTTGCACGTTTTATTCCTATTAGGAGATTATGAAACGGGCACTGTCCATCCGTATGTGTACTACCTATTACTTTTGGATGGTTCGTCCTATCATTACCAAATTTGAATGGTAGATGCATTAGCTAGGGAGGCCTATACATTTTAGTGTGGTCAAAGGTCACTCAGACTTTGTGTACAAAATGTTAAATTTGTACATAAGATGTTAAATCTACATATTACTTTTGGATGGTTCATCCCATCCTCACTAAAGCTGGATTGGGGGTCATGCGGTCAAAGGTCATAGGGCAATAAATAGCTTGTGGTCGTGTTATCTCAAGAACCGATTGACGGATTCTCACCAAACTTGGCCCATGTATGTACCTTAAGGGGCCAATGATGAACTAATTCGATTTTTGGGTTATGAGGTCAAAGGTCACAGGGCTCATTATATATGCAATAAGAGCTTGTGATCACGTTATGTAATTGGGCTTAATATGTAAATCGCGCAATAGTGGAGGCATCATTTTCAACTGCGCGCAGTCGAACATCCATCTAGTTGAATGACATACAATATTGTACACTTTTCTTTGGAATACAGTCTTGATGCAACTGATGAGTGTGCTTTTGGGGATAGACTCGGCCGCCTCGTGAATCATGGACAAGGGAGGGAGGAGAACGCCAGAATGAAGATACTAGATATGAAGTCACATCCACACATGTGGATAATTGCTACAAAGAACATATCTAAAGGGACCGAAGTTCTGTACAATTATGGAGTTCGAGAACTGCCGTGGAAGAAAAAGGTAAAAAATTTTGATAAATTTAGAGTATGATGGAAATTACAAGATTATTATCAGATGTGATAAAAGTCAAATTTTACCTTTTCATGTTTTTGCTTGTAACCCATGATAGACAAAGCAATACAAGTCATGTATGTGAGATTCAATTCTTTACCTCTGTACATTACCCATAATACTAAAAATTGCCCCATGTGATATAGCTAAACTGATTACATTTTGGACAAGTTTCTACTCATTATTTGGCTTTATTCATCTAATTTCTAATTATTTTTCCCCTCAGCATTTCAGAGGACAAGTTCAAAGGGAAGAAGAAGAGGAGAGACACAAGTCCACCAACAGGAAAGAGGGACTCTAGGACAACAACAAGAAGGAGAGATGCAGGTTCACCAGCAAGAAGGACAGACACAAGGACACGAACAAGAAAGAGGGACTCTAGGGCACCAACAAGGAGGAGAGATGAGGTCCACCAACAAGAAGGAGAGACAGAGGGCCACCAGCAAGAAGGACAGGGACAGAGGGCCACCTACATGAAAGAGAGACTCTAGGACACCAACAAGGAGGAGAGATGGAGGTCCACCAACAAGAAGGAGAGACAGAGGGCCACCTACATGAAAGAGAGACTCTAGGACACCAACAAGAAGGAGAGATGGAGGTCCACCAACAAGAAGGAGAGACAGAGGGCCACCTACATGAAAGAGAGATTCTAGGACACCAACAAGAAGGAGAGATGGAGGTCCACCAACAAGAAGGAGAGACAGAGGGCCACCAGCAAGAAGGACAGACACAAGGACATGAACAAGAAAGAAGGACTCTAGGACACCAACAAGGAGAAGACATACATATATACCAACGAGGAGGAAAGACACAGGTCCACCAACAAGAAGGAGAGACTCTAGGACACCAACAAGGAGGAGATACACATGTCCACCAAAAAGGAGTGACAGAGGACCACCAACAAGAAAAGGAACACAAATCCATCAACAAGGAGAGACACAAGTCCACCAAAAAGGAGTGACAGAGGACCACCAACAAGAAAGAGGAACACAAATCCACCAACAAGGGAGACACAAGTCCATCAACAAGAAAGAGAGACTCTAGGACACCAACAAGGAGGAGAGATACACATGTCCACCAACAAGGAGAGACACATGTCCACCAACAAGGAGGAGATACACATGTCCACCAGCAAGAAGGAGAGACAGAGGGCCACCAACATGAAAGAGAGACACAAGTCAACCAACAAGAGATAGGGACTCTAGGGCATCAACAAGAAAGAGGAACACAAATCCACCAGCACAGGGAGACACAACAAGAAAGAGGGACTCTAGGACACCAACAAGAAGGAGAGATGCAGATTAATCAGCAAGAAGGACAGACACAAGGACACGAACAAGAAAGAGGGACTATAGGACACCAACAAGGAGGAGACATACATTTCCACCAACAAGAAGGAGAGACACAGGTCCACCAACAAGAAAGAGGGACTCCAGGACTCCAACAAGGAGAGACACAAGGACACCAACCAGTCGAAGGAGAGTTCAAAGGATTAGAACAATCTGAGCATCCACAAAACTGTGTATCTCCATCAAGTTGTTCCTCAGATGAGGAAGAGCAGTACACACGCCCAAGAAGGTTCATCTACCCTAACCTATCTAAATCATCAAGTGAACTCCAAAATCATTTTGACAGTGATGAATCTGACCTTGATCCAACATATCGACCAGAGGAGGGTAGCAACGAGGAATACAGCAGTGATGATGAGGCAACTCTTGAGATTCATCCAAGAAATGTTCAAGTGCGCAAGAGACCATCTTCTGTTATATCTACACCAGATGAAAAACCTACAAAGATTTATAAACAGTGCCTTCCAGGATCATTTTCAGGGCCAGAATTGCCACATCAGAAAACCAATGATAATATGGAAACGACACACAAACACGAGGGCAAAAGAAAACAAGGTACAAGAAGCCATCAAGGCCATGCCCTTTCTGCAACAAAGCTTGTGGTGAAAAGCTCTCGAGACACATTTGTTTGGTACATAAGGATAAGGAGCAGGTGAAATCTGCCATGCAGCTGCCAAAGCGGGAGAGAGACAAGGTGTTCTCAAAGTTCAGGAAGGAAGGCATATACCAAGTAAATAGAGAACGTATGAAAGATGACAACCCCATTTATGAAAGAGAAAAGTTACCAAAATCAGGGAATGATGACAACCTTAAAATGTGCAGTAACTGCAAGGGCTTTTACAGCTCACATTTCTTCTGGCATCACAGGAAAGTTTGCCAAGGTGATATATGCACTCCATCTGAAGGAGTACCAGTAAACCTCATGGAAGGGAAAGATCCAGTGTATCAAAAACACCCAGACTTTGTCACTGACATACTTAGTAGATTCCAGAATGATGACGTTGGGAATACGTGTAGAACGGACAAAGTGATAGTTAATGTTGGACATCGACTGTGGACTAAACACAGATCCAAAAAAGACAAGAAACTTGAAGTAAGAAAATCAGTTATGGCTGATATGAGAAGACTTGCCACCTTATACACTGAGTTTAAGAAGAAACACGAGGTTCATGGGACTGCAGATCTCACAATGGGACATGCTGGAGACATGTTCAGTAGAGAGCACTTCGAATCTTTGACAGAGGCAATCCAGACGCTCACTTATGATGAAACTGAAGGCAAACTAAAGCCAGGACTGAAACTCTGCTTGTACTTTGTGCTGAAAAAAGCTAGCAAAATCACTAAAGCTAGTTTTCTTGTATCCAGGCTAGATGAAGATGCATCTGAGATTGACAAGTTCGTAGAGATTCTTGACTTGAACCAGAATTTGATTTTTGGGGATGCACACTACGAAATCCAAAAGAATCGCCAAGTGCGTTTGAGGAAGCCTGCAGAGCTCCCGCTTGAGGCTGACATTGAAGCATTGAAGACATACACTCAAAAGAAAGTCACAGAAATCATCTCTGATGAGTTCCTGGTTTGGGATTCTCACACATTTGTAGAGTTACGAGATCTGACTTGCTCGCGATTGACATTGTGGAATGCAAGGCGTGGTGGAGAACCCAGCAGGCTTACAACCGAAGAATGGAGAGATGCAGAAGAGGGTGTATGGATGCAGAAAGACAAGATTCATGAAGTTAAAAATCCAGCCCATCAGGAACTTTTATCTCAGCTCAAGATATGCTACCAGACTGGGAAGGGCACTAATCGCTTGGTTCCAGTCCTGTTCCCAAGAGACACTGTGAAACCTGTGCAACTTCTATGTGATCAGGAAATCCGGCATACAGCAGGAATAAGACCTGATAATAAGTACATATTCGCTTGTACTCAAATGTCTCATGACCATGTTGGAGGGTGGCATGCTCTAAAGAATGTCTCAGACAACATCAGCCTTTCGTCCAACGTTACGGTGAATGCCACCAAGAACAGGCACAGAGTGTCTACAATTTACGCATCCCTCGACTGCCTGCCTGATGCTGACTTGGAACTATTTTACCGGCATATGGGACACTCCTCTACAATCAATCAAACAATCTACCAGACCCCACTTGCCATCCAAGAAATCACCCGAGTAGGGAGTCATCTCCATCATATAGATATAGGAGGTAGGTAAACATTTATACAAATTTTGCATTGGTTCAATGTACCATATTATATGTACAGCAAATTAATGATTATCTCGAGTTCAGATTTATAACAGCGAGGCAGTAGTAATAGAAATAAGAGCTGATATAATTTTGAATTGGGATAGCATATAGGATAATAACATCGAGCAACAAAACAACCAGTAAATGATACACCCAATTGTACATTTATATGAAAACAATTGCAAAATATTGATGGAAAAAACTTGCACCATTTCATATTCCCAAATCTGAAGCAAACCTAACGCAGAAAAAAAAAAATGTTCATCAAGTGATATTTACTATTTATTTATTTCATAAACTCTTTGTGTTTGGTATATATTTATTTTGTATTTGTTTGATTGCACTATTACAAATTTGTTAATTTGTTTATGCTCTCTCTCTCTTATATTGACTGTTGTTATATCGTGTATGCAAATTATTGATGTTCGCATTTTATATGTCTTTCCCTTCCCATAGGAATGAGGGCACGCAAAGAATCTGAAGCGTCTGATGACGATGGCTGCTCAAGTGCACCAGCGACCTCAAAGGATGGCTGCTCTACAGCACGGGTGAACTCTAAACATGACGACTCAACTCTAACGGTGACCTCTGAGGATGGCAGCTCAACTACACCAGCGACCTCAAAGGATGGCTGCTCTACAGCACGGGTGAACTCTGAGCATGGCAACTCAACTCTAACAGTGACCTCTGAGGAAGGCAGCTCAACTACACCAGCGACCTCAAAGGATGGCTGCTCTACTGCAACATTGACCTCTGGGGATAGGTCTTCAGGTAATATGAAAGCGAAGTGTTTTTTTTTTGCACATTGTTGCTTTGATATTAAACAGGGAGTTGTTCCCATTAACTCTGCAGTTCAACTATCACATGTGCTGAATTCATAGTTGTATTGTATTGTTGAGAATCATAGGCATGAGTTCAAAACTTGGTTCTTGTAGAATGAATCAGTTCATAAAGGTTTCAGCATATGATACAATGGAGATTCATGAAGAAAAAAAAAAGTAGTAGATTCATGCATTTATATGACAAATATTGGTGTAAAACTAATTGGATCTGCTCAGGAACGCAACACTGTATGGGAAAAGTTTATAGCTGACCATAATGAGAAGTTTTCCCAGCAACCATTGTAAATACTGAAAGATTGTGTGATATGGATACAATTTGAATCTAGCAACTGCGAGAGTAATGGTAAAGGTGTATTTGGCCTAGACATTTAAAAGTTGGAGGGACACATGGGCTCTAACTACCTGTGCGCATGCATACAGCTTGTTGATTGATTTATTCCATATTTTTTAGCCCATGTGAGCAGAATGCTCAAGTGAGATTTTGCCATCCGTTTTGTTTGAAGGGGGTATATACTGTGCAGTCGGTTGGGCGGTCGCGCGGTCGGTCGAATCTTGTGTCGTGAACTACTTCCTCAGTTTTTGAACAATTCTAGTGAAATTTGGCACAAATGTTTGCCTTGGGGTGTTGATGAGCAGACACACTATAGGCCCCTGAGCAAATTTACAAACTTTTTTTTCCCCCTTGGGGCACTATGGGGAGGTTGCGAAATTCAGGTGAGCATCTAGTCTACTGGGCTCTTTTGAGTATTTTTTATTTTATTTTTGCCACATCATATGAGATGGGGATTTGAGGTTTGCAAAACATTAATCACCCTGTTTAAATTACAGTATCTTTTGCCCATAAATAAATTGGTACATGTAGGTGTCCCGATGCTGTGGTTATGTTTCATGAGATAAAGCAAATTCAGGGGAGGGTAGTCATGCAAGCTGCAACCGGAGTGTTGTGCGTTTTTAAAGTATTTTTCTTCTTTTCAAACATCTTTCATAGATGTAGGCACAACATGTGACAAACTGTGAAACATGTCTGAAGCGTAGAAGTATATAAGGCTTATATGTTATGTCATTACAGCCCGAAGGTACAACCGCTGGTCAAAGCAGGGAAGCAAGCAGTGCAAGCAGTATTTCTCTGCAGCAATCAAACAAGGGGAACCATTACCAGGTAAGCTTCTTTGTGTTTATGTTTAAGTGCATCTTTAGGCAAAGGGTTGAGAAAAGTTGTAATTTTGTTGTCATTTTAAAGGGCAGGAAACTGGTATAGCATGTATTAGAAGTGTGCATATAATTTATATAAAAATCAGAATATTGTGTTCCAAGAAACTAAGTTCCAGGGATCCCCAGCTTTCAGTTTTGGTAGCTTCCATTTACTAGTTTCAAGGTCTAGTCATTATTATACCCCTGCCAAACGAAGTATATAGGAATCAGCGTGTTGGCAGAAGTTGATGACAGTGGCAGAAAGTGCATTGCCATGGTAATGGCATATTATGACAAACAAAGGGGGGGGGGGGGATCTTGCGTCGCGAACTACTCCTTCAGTTTTGAACAATTACGTGATAACTCAAGTATGACTTGATGGAATATCATCAAACTTTGAGTAGGACTTGGCAATTAATAAATTTGATTTTGAGTGACACTGCAATAGCTGGGGGGGGGGGGGGGGGAGGGGTTATTCCCCCATCCATCAGATGTTCTTCGTTTACGCGATAATTTGATATATTTGAGTATGACTTGATGATGTCATTAAACTTGGTGAGACGGTCATGTAGGACATGACAAGTAACTCAGGACTCATTTGATTTCCCCACCCCCATCTCGGACCTCGGCCATATATCAATGTGTGGCATGTGTGTGTATACATGGATTATTTGTTTTACAAAAATGCATAGTCAAATTTATTGTTATTCCTATTTGATTATGCACATATGCAACTTTTTTTCCAGGAGTTCTACTTTTTTTCTTCAGTTTCCAGCATTTATGGAGAAAGTGCACTTAATTGACATTAATTGGCTTTTCATGTACTCTGAAAGATAGCTTAGTCAAATTAATAATAAGTATTGAAATTTCATATGAGTTGATAGTGCAAATATGCAAATTTGTTCAATATAATGCAGTGCGTGAGAGGGCAGAGGCATACCAGTCGACTAGTTCCTATTTAATAACCTAAGATAGTATCGATGATGACAAAGGATTTAGAATGTATTGTTCTTATTTCATACCCAGGGAGGAAGGCCTGCACCACTTTCCTGCAAAGACATCAAATCACCATGGAATGGCAGGCGGTAAGAAATAAGGTGATGAACGAAAGGAATAAAGCAAAGAAAAACTTTGATGACAGAGAGAGGAGCTTCCTAAACTAATAATATTAGTTGGGTCAGATCATATGGTCTGATTAACATCTTTTGTTGCCTTTTTTGGCACAATACATGTACCTTCACCTGTATATTCCAGTAGGTATGTGGCTTCTAAATGAATATTCATGAAAGAGCTTGCACAAGGACTCATCCTCGTTTTGTTTCAGTGTCAAGCCTGGTCCTTTATCTGCACATGCGCAACCTGTAACTTGCTCTAATTTGTGATAGAGCTGAATTGATGAAAGTCTAATATGGTGGGCAAAGAGGTCAGTTGAAACATTGGTGTAATGATGATTAATGAGCCTGAATGAAGTTAGTTTATTTCGGTTTTCCCTGCCATTGACTTAGTGTATGTATTAAAGAAAGTGCTAAATGGTTATATAGTGGACATTTTGTAACCTGGATGTATGCAAGTTAAATGAATATTAAAGGTAATACAAAGTTTTGGGAATATTTCACTAGGGTCGGAGAATAACGTTTAAATTTTCATTATCATTGTAAAACCTTGTGTACGAAAAAACCGCCTCTGAATAAATTGGGCTCTAAAACGCTTTGGATTTCGAGATATTCTAATATGAAATTTATCGGTGCTCCCGATAAATTTCAAATAGCGCCTACGGTCATATAACGGTAGCTGCGACCATGAAAATCTCGGAATATGCAGTTCTGATATTAGGTTTCAAAAGAATAGTCAAGAAACATTGCTTTAAAGCTAAAGTAATATCAATCCGGAGAGGGCGCTATACAACATAAAGAGTTTATTATCTACAATTTCATCACTTTAGACTCGATTACAACAGCGACAACGATCATTGTGTTTTGTTGGATCGTATATATGCTTCCAATATGTACATTTGAACAAAATTCATGACCCCATACCAAAACTTTGTATTACCTTTAAATTTAATTCAGGATCAAATGAAGATGACATGTATCTAATTAATGATGTAATGATGAATACTGCTTTCAGTGCATGATGAAGGTTTGGACATTAGAAATGATTGGTTGCACACTGTACAGTGAAGTGTAGTGCATGTTATGCAGTCAAACTTCAAGTTCAATTCAAGTTTATTAGAGTGAACTACATATTATTAGACAAAGGGTATTTATAGTACTTGATAATGATGTCAGTTTGAGCACAATCCCTTTTCGAAGTGTTTTGAAGAGCATCAACTTGATTCCACAAGCACAGATATTACAAAGACACTTAGATGTCATTTTACTATCTAATCTTGCATATATATGGATTGCACGTTTGCATCTAGTTGAACTTTTGTTATTGTTATTCCTGTTATTGGAATATTTTACAGCATTGCCTTTTATATGGTGTACATATTTGGCTACATCAGTGTTCTTTGTGACAAGAGTAAATAATGCTAATTTGCTCATTTAGTGCTATAATAATTACATGTGTTAATGTTTTTATTCATGAGAAATGTAGGAAAAGTATAACGATTACATTCTGACCCACTAGGTTGTAGTGTTGCATAACATTGGGCACTGTCCCTATCATCCCAGAATAGACATCGAAATATGAAAATGACTACATCGGGATTAATTTCAGAACCGAAGATCTCCACATGTATGTTCTTTCTTTTGCTTTCATTTGTGAGGACCCAGACCAAAAATGAGATGACTTCCTTTACTAGATTCAAAAGATACAGGCAAAGTTTTGACCACATCTTAATTTTACACCTTTTTTGAGAAGCTCTGTTTTCGTTCATGCACGAGTGGTTATTCATTGGTTCATGTCAAGTTAGTCATGGTTGGGTAGAGTATGTATGTTCCAATTATATGTAGAATTTCAAGGTTAAGCATTATTAGTTTTATAAATATTTTAGAAATATAAAACTACTACTGCTACTACTACTACTACTTCTACTACTACTACTACTACTACTACTACTACTACTACTACTACTACTACTAGTCTTGTATTACTACAACTACTACTAGTAGTACTACAGTACTACTACTGCTGCTGCCACTGCTGCTACTACTGCTACTACTCTACTACTACTTACTACTACTATACTATACTACTACATTGGAACCTCAAAACTGTACTACTAACTAATACTACTAAAAATATTCTGCATGAACTACATTTTTATATATGATGAAACAGCATGGGACTACATTTAAATTACTACCGTATATTATTATATACGATATGTTTATAAATTTATAAAAAACTAACGATTTATAAACGAGGTCCTGGGACCATGAAAATTACCTAATGTTATATCAGTTTCTCATTTATATCAGTGATAAAAAACCAAAGAAATATAAAGAGCTGGACCAGCAAAATTATCGTTATAAGGGCTTTGTTATATCCGATATCATTATAACGAGGTTCCACTGTACTAATACTCACTACTGCTACTGTGCTACTACTACTACCATACTACTACTACTATACTACTACTACTACTACCACTAAAAGGAGGTTTACTACAAAACCACACCACACTACTTTGTTCTGTCTCCTCCCCTTCCTCCCTCCCTTTCCCTATTTCCAATTTCTGTCTCTTTCTTGCCATTTCTTTATTTTCTTGCCTGATGATGTGATACACTGAAATTATTTTTTTGTATTGTCTGTGCAATTTAAATTGTTTTCTTTAATATTCAATGTGACTATTAATTTAATATTTTGCATTGAGATCTCTCCCATTTATATAAAATGTATTCTACTTCATGCTTATTTATAATTTTGAGCATGTGCCCAATTTTTATTGCTTGATTTTAGACTTGCTCAATTAATCCATGGTTTACCTTTGTAATAAATTCCTTGCTAATAAAATAACTAAATAGTTCCCGGCTTCCCGCGTTTTGTTTTTGCTTTTGAATGTGACCTTTTGTGGATGACCAGTTGAAGATGTGAATGCATATTTTGATTGAGTTTGTGTCCATATACACATGTCTGTGAGATTCGTTGTGTGGTTCGTTTTGTTTGGCTTGTGCTAAACGGTCGGGGTCGCGTTCGGGTTCCTTTTTGAAAGTTAGCATATGGTGTCTTCACATGCAAGATTCTTTTCCTTTTCATATTTTTCTTATAGTATACAAATCCATTCATATGACATTGATAATGATATTATGATTTATAAAGAGGATAGTTATAATTATGATAATGGGATGAAGATGGTAAAAACTGTTGCGCACCTGTTGCGCCCTGGATCCGCCACTGCATGTCATATCGAGTATTAACAAAAACAAAGGACATGTGCGAATATACCTCCACACAAGAAAAAAATGATAAAAAAAATTAATAATAACATAGACAAAATAATCGATAAACTTGTACTTCAAGGAGACACAAATATGTCTCCATTGAGTGGGTGTTTCCTAGAAGTAATGCATGTCTTCAAAGACCCAGGAAGTTTCCAGTTTGTGGGGAATTAAATCAAATAACAATAATAATAATGATGATGATAATATTTCTATAGATCTGACATTTGGGAGACATTTTGGTGTTATTTATACCTACTTATAGGAGACACCCACATGAAGGAGACATTTCGTGTTAATAAACAAGAATTTATAACAATGTTAATAGAAATGATAATAATGATAATAGTTATTATAATTATAACGATAATAGTAATTTAATATAGACTAAGCCTATGTGCAATCCTTATAACCCTTTAGGCTTGTATGAAGACTAATAGTATGTTCAAAAATCTATAAAGCAAAACATACATTTTAATTATGTTACATTTATATATATTATACATATATGTGTGCATGCTCAGTATCACTATCATTAGGAGACATGTCTCCCAATAGTATGAGAAAGACAAAATGTCTCCCTTTTGTTGCTCAGATAGTAATGAAACGTAAAGGAGACATAAATTACGACGGTATATCTTTTTACCGAAAAAGTGTGTCTTTGAGGGTAAAAAGTAATTAAGTAATTGAAAGACTCTGGTTTGAAGATCTTTTCTGCGAAAAAAAACGAAAGTTTGTATGCTTGTTTTAACTTTATGGTACCATTTTGCTACTGTCTCCAAAATATTGATTTTTATCACATGTCTTCCGTATGTGCAATCCATAGTTATATATATATATATATATATATTCACAATTTGTCTATTGCCATGTGTGTGATTGGATAATTCCAGCATGTGTGTTGTCTCTGTGACTGAGTTGACACACAGGTGAAGCAAACATGAGGAAAGGCTCTCTCTAGAGCTCAAAGCTGAGATGTACTTTGATGACGAAGCCGCTCTAAGCCAAGATGGAGGACTTTGGTTTTCTTTTGAGAGCCAGAAGGGCCACAGCTCATTCACTTGAATACAGCTTTAATGCCCTTCTGTATCTCAACAGTGTGTTCTGACGAATGTCGTCTTGGCATATCAGCATGTACGGGTGTAAAGGAAGTACATTGATACATACCGGGGAAAGCTGATATATATCTGCATTGCTGCTCAGATGTGTATTTAGAAAAACACAGCACTCATGTTCACATATTTGCTACATTTGACTGTCTGGAGAGGATTAAACATTGAATGTATCTGTTGCCATGGTGACAGGATGGAGGATTGAGATGAGTGTGGTGAACATGGTGACACTGATGTGGTATGGATGCGGTATTGATGTGTTTCTTACAGCAGCGATGTGTGACTTCCAACTTACTGTTATGTATTACATTATCTTCTATTGGAGCCACAAGATTGCCCTTAATTGTATCTGCAAACATGCAGATACGTATTCCTTCCCATCTCAGCATATATGAGCAATCGGAAAATATAGAGCCATGTTAGTTGTATGGAGAAAAAAATATATGCATGCCTTACAAGAGAAAAATGTTATCAAAATTTGTCTCATATATGGAATTGGATTTTTATATGTTGTTTCATTTTAATTTTCAACCACGTTTGCCATATTACTAATGTCAATTTTCTCTTTTCTCTTTCTTTCTTCATTTCATTTGTCTCTGATTTGGATTTGGACACAAATAGGTAAGTGATAAATACATAATCATTTTTTTGTTTTAAAACTTTGAAATCATTTCTTTTCCTTAACTGTTTCACATTTATGTCAATGGTTGTCTTCTATACATAATAAGGGAATCTCCCTCTTTGTTACTGTGAAGATTCATTCTGGCTCCCAACAGAAGCATTGTAATTGTTTTCTTTTAATTTGAAAGTTCAATTCGAGATGGGAGCTTGGGTTTATTGTTTCCTTAAAGCCAGGGAAACAAAAACTTTTTTTTTTGTTTACTGCTCACTATCACCCTTGCTTTCTGGCTCTCAAGGAATGATATGATTAGCCAAGAAGCCTGAACCTAGCTCTGAGTTTGCGATGATAAATATAAAATAGGGCATCTCTCAGGCCCCACACAGCCCCTGAAGCAATACCATCTCTGTTTCGAGAAATAATAGCATTATTTCACCGCCAAGAAATCTGCAATCCCATTTTCTCATCAAAATCACCCAATTCCTAACCTAGCCCCAAACACAATAACAATCAGCTGCTTGCCTTTAACCTCTTACCAATTCTCAATAGAATTGTATTGAGACAACATCTGTGCAAGAAAAGTAGATTTTGCTGATAACGATTTGGAGCTTATTTTCTAATGTTTCCTGCAAAATAAACCCTTTTTTCTTCTTCATTGTACTTGCATTAATGCAATGAGATTCTGACTTGAGATACCAGGCAGCTTAACTAT